TGATTGGATGACTAAGGCAAATCAAATAGCTGTCGTCCGATTGATCAACCTGAGTGTCAAGGTCACGATCTGATTGGCGCGTCACTGCGTCTGTTCGCGTATGCCCAATTTACCACACATATTTGCTTGTTGTTTCACGATCAAGGATACACACTGACTGTCGTTCCTCAACAGTGTTCGTTCTCCAGTTGTTGGGGCCTAGACAAAGAGGCGCACGTATCGATCATATCGTCTTGGCATAAGACATAACACTATGGCAACGACGTGACGCTTCACTGAAATTGAAAAGTCGCGTATACTTCGCCACTATGCTTTGTGGTTGTGAGACCTTGAATTTGCCGGTGGAAGACATCCTTCTCCTAGCGGTTTCCGACAATCGATGCCCACGTAGTCTGACACAGTTGGGATGACGTGAACGGGTTAGTAAGCTAAAGGTAAATCATCGAGTACTTGGGAATGCATCAAACAAAAGCTTACAATCGCATCGAATTTAATAGGCTCCGGTGGTTAGAACACGGTAGCCTACCACAGTGCACCTTATGTGCAGTGATCGCTCCAGACTGGAGAAAGCCACTTGCACCCCAGCGGATGACGTGGAGCCGAGGCAGGAAGAAATGTATAGAGCGACTAAGTGAAGTAATCTTTTATCTTGTCTTTCCGGGACGGTTGGAGACGCTGAAGGGTAGGGCAGGAAATCGACAGCAGTGGCTATGTTGTCGTCACTTCTTATCAAACCACAATGCTTGAAAACGCGTGTATGTACGGCCGGGCAGTGTACTCTGTGTGCTGACCACAGAGGTTCGCTTTCTATCCCCGTTCCTCAAAATAAGCTCAATCCTGAGCCTCTTTACACAGTTTCACTTAACTTTTATGCATTATGAGTTTGGCAGCAATTAGTGACGTTTCCTTTATTGTGTTATGCTGTACTTTGATGATGATGATGATGATGACGGTTACCTACGTCTCATTGTGTAGGTTTGATAATGGTTCCAGTCAAAGTGTTGTTTCGATGATTCTTGACCATGATTTTATGGATGAGATGGATTTATATTCACCAAATATTATATCGCAAGGTAGTTTCCATAGTATCCAAATCCTATTCATCAGCATGATCGATGCGTGTCGAATATGCATCGACATGGACAAGTATTTCCCAGGTCAAGTGTTGGCGATGAGAACAGTAAACACAAACCCTTTCATTTGTGTATAATCATTATTGTCTATCGTTTCAATTTCCAGTACTTCTGTCCTGGTCCCGTGCACCCATCTCAATCAGACTGCGCTTTCTTTTGTTCCCATTGATACAGGCTCTGTCCAAACATTGCAAAATGGATCCGGTAAAACACTCAGTCAATTACGCTCCAAAATGCTCGATCATTTGGCCTCCTGTTTAGACCCCAAGGAGATGACGTTTGCGGTTGAATCCAGTACAGGTAGATGTGTTGTGCTGGTGATTGCACAAATTTTGCACTCTGAACGCATGCGAACACGTTAAGATACCGCATTGGACCCTGTAGAATGATCAATGATGGAGCTGGAGAGGCGGGAATGAGAACGGTTGAGAAGATTTGTATGTGGTTTTGTGTTACACATATTGAATGTCCTAATAGCCAGACTGATCTAAATTGAAAGATTGTTTCAACCGAGGGAATTGCTCATAAAAATGATAGACAACGGCAAATTAAACGCGAAGTTAGTAGTCAGCTAGTGCGGGGAATGCGAGGTTTTTACGGGTTAGAACGTTTACTAGTTGACCCGGTTTGTTTTTGGACGCAAGCAAGGCCATGGCTGTCAAACGCTCAGTATGAATGGGAGGTGGAAAAGATTAGCAAATATCTCTGGAACCATGTTTAGAGCATTGACAACTCATCGGAACATCAGACAGTAAGAATCTGATTCAGGCAACATAGACAGGTTGATTTTCAGGTGAGTTCGGGTGTACGGTGGAACGAAACACATTGCGTTAGGACACCGAGTTGGCAGTTTATTGATTTTTTAATGTCTGATTAGTCATAAAACGTGTTACTTCATCACGTGTGCCCACAAAAATGGGCCAAAATCAATGAAGAGTAGTGCTAAATCGGTTTTCTTTGCCTTTTGCAAATCAAGTTGTCCGAATATTATTTCAAGATTTCTGGGTATCATTTCAATTTGTCGGAGCATCGTTTCAAGCTGTCTTGTTGACCTCATCGGCGATGACAAGCCTCCCAGCCATGTCCGGATGACCACCATGCAGCACAGATTTCTTCATCTCCTGTTGAAGCGCCGCGGGAGAGGGGGGGGCAATTGTGAGACGTGCCTCGGTGACACTCACTTCAATTCCCATGACATACACATTAATTGTTTATCTTGCAAGTACGCGTACGCGTTTCTACATCTGTACGGAGGATCACTTGGGTACATCCGCACACAGGTGGAATATAACCTGAAAGTCTGGAACAAACAGGATGTGAATCTGGTCAACACTGATGCGTTTATCGAGCATGAACGATTGTTGTCCCAGATGAGACCGCTTGAGATATAGCATATGAATTCTATTGCAGCATCATGCTGCGGAGGTAAGCAAGGGCTCAAGCGTGATTCAATGGTATCAGAGGAGGGGGACACACACACATTGACGCGTACGCATACTTACAAGATCAACAGCAATTATACATGTCATGGAATTGGTGTTTGTGACCGAAGCACGTCTCACAATCTCTCCCCCCCCCGCAGCGCTTCAGCGGGAGGTAGAGCAATCTGTGCTGTATGCGGGTCATTCAGACATCCTTGGGAGGCTTGTCAGCGCCAATGAGGTCAGCAAGACAGCTTAAAATGATGCTAAAACATCTTGAAATGATATTCGGACAACCTGAAGGTATAGTACAGAGTTGATATACGCACAACTTCAGAAGCTTAGTCTGAATGTTCTCAAGGGTTAAATGTGAATCCAGACGGTAGACTATACCAAGGTGGTACGGTGAATATAAAAAGGATACAATTCTCATATTCAGTACACCTAAGGCCATGGGGGTTTTCACGCGATAAGCCTGAATCGGTAAAATGAACAGAAGCAAACGTGACAGCGAGGTAATTCGCGGTTCCGTCAAATGCAGAAACGAAAATTGAAGTAACATCGCAGGGAGCACAGGTACTGGTGGTTTCGTGTGGTACAGGCTGTGTGTGTATACGTGTGTGTGTGTGATCAGTAGGACTAATCAGAACGAGATCAACTTAAATCTGTGCAATAGTCAGACAACTATGAAGAGGCAGAGTGATTCTTGACGAATCTCGACTTGACTTGACACGATCTAGGGATCAGCAACGGGAGGGAAGTGCGATCAGAAGAGTTCGTGGGCAGTCCAAGGGCGTATCTGGATTTGAAATGTTTGGTGATCGATAATATGCATGGGTTAAAACAATGTCAAGTGCCAGGTCAGTGGATACACAAGTGTGTGAATGGGAGCTTGGTGGATGGATACAAGCAGATGCAAGCAGATCGTATCATTCTTCAACCAATAGAGGCCTTCGGAAGAGAAGGAAAAGGGATGAAAATTTGGCCGCATTATTCGTATAGGAGAGATTGTTGGTCTTTATGGAATATCACTCGATGCTTCAACTATATCTGAGTGATTCCGAATCGCCACAGTTACATCGGATTCACGCCCTTTAGACAATTTTCTGACGAACCTTAGGGTTAAAAATGACTACATGCTAGTCATACACCAAGTATGATTCACCTCGTTCATTTTTTGTCTCAGAATGGTTGAGAAATTAGACATAACTTTAGATGATTAGTTTACCTATGGCTGGGGTATCCCCACTTTTGGTAGCCCATGAATAGGTCACGGGTCAGACACCGTTGTCATTGTTTCGATGGCTTCAGGAATATTTTTGCATAGATGGGATAGACACTGAAATAAGATGTGCTCGCATAAAAACAGATAAATGAAGGCGAAGATTGAATAAACTACGAACTGTCTGGGCACATTTTCCCCGTAATTGTTCCTTAGCATGAATGAGGTGACAAACGATCTAGGAAGCCTGAACCTGTCAATCAGGACAAGGTCTTCGGTGAAACCTTTTTGGCGTTAAATGAGGAATAGAATGAGATCAAAAAAGAACAATTTAGGGTAAAGTAAACCAGAGACATATGAATCGGTAGAGCAATCCCGGCTTTTGAAACAAGACTTCAAAACCATTCATCTAATTCTGCTGATAATCCGTTGTGCATCACAGATCTCATTAATGGTCACATCAACTCTTCTGTGAACATTGTCAACACGATTCTAGACGACCATCTTCATTCACTGTGTCCCGAGCGATCATCTTGTCATTCCCATTCGTCCACACGCTCCTATTTTCACCAGCTAACCTCTCGTATTAACATTTATGAAAATTCCCCTTTACCCAACCTGCCTGTCTCTTAACAATGAAGGAAAAAATCGCAAGTGAACTGCACACAAGTTATACAAATACAATTACAAATAGAACACATCTGTACACAGAAAACTCGTAGGAACTTGTTCCTGCCTGAACAGGAAACCGGAGTGGAATAGAATTCACAAAGTTACACCCGTTATCACATTTAAAACCACTTTAAGGAAGCACTGGACAGTTGTTGTGACCTGGTTGGCTCTTATCTGAGCAGTACTTCTTAGCTTTTCAGTTCACGCTTCATTTGCTATATATAAGACGAATTCACTTTTTGAAATGGAACCCAATCCTCCGTTACTGAAATGAAACAGAAATACCTAGTGAGTTCAACAAATATTATCCATTGTTAAACACAAATCAAAACAGATTTCATTTCTCAAAGTACATACCTTAGAACTATCATATTCGATTTTTATTATATCCAATCAAACACCTCATTGTTATGCAATCTGTTCGTTTTCTTTTCTCCGTCTTTAGATATACTGGATGGATTGGAGATAGTGATTCGACAAACTTTAGTCAAACTAAAGACAAGGTACAACCGCACACGATGTTGTTTTATTGGAATGGGTGTCCCCGTTTATTTTCCTCCTTAAAAATTGTTATAAATTTTTCGACTGATTGGTTCCGAGTGATTGATGAGATTTTGATTGAAGAGGATTTGTGCAAGAATTGTGATGATAATTTGACATTCACAATTATTTGTGACTAGTGGTTTGATATCGAGTGATTAGAACTGACCGTCCTTCAAACTTCGTCTTTATGCATACTTATCAGCCCTTCTAGTCAACCGTACACTGGGTAACACTATTCTTGAGTTTAGATTTCTTTACAGCTCACCAGTAGCGCGTCCACCATCCCATCCGGGATTTGAACTCAGAACCCATCGCATGGAAGGCGTGTATGTTATGACTGTACCAACTGGCGCATGTCAGAACTGAACCAAATTGCCAATTCGTGTTTGTTCAGGTGTTGTTGTCTTCAGTGATAGTCAGGCATGAGATGGATGGCACAGTGGTAACACCTGCCTTCCGTGAGATGGCTCCGAATTTCAATATCCGGACGGGACGGTGTATATGCACTACTGATGAGCTCTAACGAGAGAACGAAACTAAAGTCTAGTGCTTCCGAATGTATGGTTGACTGGAAGAACTGAGGATTGTGCGTGAACGCGAAGTCTGAAGGACGGTTAGTTCTGGTCATTCTAGAATAGTATGTAGACACGCATGTGAAGATCTGCTATTCAAGTTTAAAAAAACGAAAAAATTTAGTCACACTTTGGATAGAGCGCTCAGTAAATCAGAAGGAAGAGGAGTCTACAAACAATTGCTTGGCGATAGAGAAGGAATTTAATCATAGGAGAGCGAAAGCAAATCAACGTAATCGGTTAGCATCATTCAAATATTAGGTCAACAATCAATTACAGGATCATCGCAATTCGATCTACGTAACAGTATGTGGTCTGATTTTTTTAAAACAATCATTATTCATTCCCGTATTTAAGATGCTACCGTAGACAACTGATCTATAATGAGACAAGAGCCACGAGACTGTTTTTAGTCTAATTAGTAAATAAAACTAGGATAGAACAAGTGTGCACAAGTGCCAAACTATTTTTTAGAGCCCATCTTGCTTAAACTCCGCATATTCGGTCCCTATTTATTGACGGAACCTAATATTATGGGTCACTGGTCTAGCGCACTTTCATTTTCCATTGTCGTGAATTAGCTATCCCAGTCTACAGACAAGAACCGTGCTCCATTTCTCTCACAGCGAAATTCAATGTAAACTGACCTGCTTTGACTTCGCGATCCAAATACAGTATTGATTACCTCACGTGGCGAGATTTGTTTCCGGTGATTCAAATCCAAGTAGCGAAAGCAACTTTGACACCATTTTAACACAATTTCTACTGGAAAACTCATACGCGTGCTAACTTTTGTGCACTACTGTCGGAATCAAGAAAAAATCGAGCTCATTGGTGAATACAGTTGGGAAGAGAAGTAGAGGGAACAGTTATCTACATTCCAGTGATTATTCATGAGAAATGGCACTGGGATCAAGTCGAAGTGTGTTCTCTTCCTTTTTTAACTTATGATGCGGATAGGCGCGATTTCCAGAACAGATTGTTTTTTTTACTGGAAACGTCAAACCCCAAGTTATCTAATCGCAGTGTCGTGAGGTACTAATCATACTTATGAGTAGTACGTAAAAGGATGTGGTTTACGTTTTCTTTAAATAGTCCTCAATGAACAAGACATCCTAGCGCGAATTGCTTTGTTCAAGGTGATAACCACGGCGTGCTGCCGGAAATGTTTATGATATGTTCAAAAAGAGACATTTTGTTATATATGTACACCACATTACCGATGCACAAACTGCGGTTCTTATTAAACAATGCTCCTCAAGCCAGTACCGGTCTTCTGCAATCATAAGAACAGTAGTGTTTTATATTTCATATGTGGTGCTTTTGAAAGCAGGGAATTTTCTCAAATTCGTGATCGTAGACCTTACACACCTTTCGCTTGTAATGCATAATCCGATACTTAGCAAGCGATCACAATAAATGCATAAACCTGTTCGGGTTTCTTCGGTGTGTGTGTGTACCGTGCACTCAAAAGGCACAAAAATGTCGCATGAAGGAGAACGAAAAACTGTGATGATAACATCAGAAGGTTACACATAAATCCGAAAATAAAGGAAACGAGCCCAGATACGATATCACAGTCCAGTCACCAGGACCATGAATTATATCCTTAGGAATATTTTTGTAGTAATGTAAATGTAGTTGTGACATTGATTTTTCATAGTGTGCCTCTCATGTAATTAGTTTATGCACAGTCTAGACAGTTAGTTAAATTCGTATGCATGAGAACTGTTCATGCATAAATCCTGGACTGTAATTCCGTGTGATTTTCGATCTACATAATCGAGTCGAATCTAACCACATTCGTTGAGTTTTGTGACAGCAAAACTGATCGATACGAGAGATGAAGTTAGTGAACAAGTTGAAGCAAATCAGATATAATTACTGAAATTGATCACTATTCCAGAGGGAATAGCAGACACTGACTCATGTCCTGGTTGTTTTCGAGGTGTTTGTTCAGTGTGACTCATATAATCCTATATTAGTTTTCGACTCGGGGGGGGGGGGGGGGAGGGTAGGCATGGAGATAATGGAATGACTCGTATCCTAAGGATCACGGTTTGAGGCCTGATCCCACTAACTACATTCGGTTATGTCCAAGGTTTCTGCAAAAGATTGCATTTCGAAACTTGTGTCTCTTGGACCTTAATGAAGATTTGTCAATCCGCTTTGGAAGACTTTAATCACCGGCTTCTGTAACTAATCCTAACTAAGTCCTAGTGACGATTGAGTTCAACCTCATTCTCTGTATACGCATTCTGCTATTCCTGTGAGACTGGTTACGTTGGCCTGGCTATCAGGCGCTTATCCGATCGCGTTTACGAACACCATCTGGCTTGGCTGAGGACTGGAACAATTAGGAGAATTATGAGCGCGGTGTGTTCGCATCTCGTTCAATCAAATCACTCAATGGACGTGGTAAACAATGTACAATGTTGACTGTGGACAGTCAAAACTAGCGAAGTAACGTATTCTAGCCACAGTCGAATTCGTAAATATTCGGATTCACACACACACACACACACACACACACACACACACACACACACACTCCCTTGTGTTGTCAGAAGAAATTCGTACAATAATTTAATCTCCAATTCGCTCAATTCATCCACCCCAACAGGTGTGTGGTCACTTGAACTTTGCATCATATTGTTCTGTGGCAGATTGAAGATTGAAACTGTGTATATCTTAGTAGTTCTAGAGGGATTCGAAACTACTCATGGACGAGGCCTATGCTTTGGTACAACACACACTCTATCAGCTGAGCAACAAATAATAAAATATAGATTTCACTATACATTCACCAATCAAAAATAATAAAACAGAATTCAACGAAATAGTTTATGCGTTCAAGTTCAAATGGTCACCGTGGCTATCAGTATTCAAACAATACAAGAAAATGTTTCTATCCGTTTGTACTTTGGTCTCTTATTCGGCCTGATTCAATCGATTGTTGTTTCTTGATAATCAAAGCTAGTGGTAGGAGTTCATGGTTCTCTCTTTTCGTTCTCCCTTACCCTATATCAGTAAAATAATAAAGACCGTCAAATACACCAACTACAGTGACAGTTTCAAAAATGAAAAATTTGCAAAATTTTATGAAAGTAAGTAGAACACGCGGTCAGATTGAGTGAGTATAGAATTACTGTTAAATTGGTAATGGCTTTTTCCTCTAGAACATCTGCGTATAATCTGTGACCAAAAATGTGTGTACCCACTCTGTCGGGTGGGTTTCTTGGCTATGCTTCAAAATATTCACTTTCTGTTTGTTTATAGAAAATATTTATGATTTCAGTGCTACGCTACAAATAGGAGGATTTACGATAACGGATGCCAAACCTTCCGCACCATAGGGACTTGAACCGACTGTCCCGTCGAACTTCTCACACAATGCTCAGTTGATGCAGTTAATCATACACTAGGAAGCACTGAGCTCGAGTTTCGCCCTCCTCAGTAATGCATATTTACTGCCCCAATCGGGTTTTGAATTCCAAACCCATCGCATGGAAGGCGTGTGTGTGTTACCAAAACTAGCTTATCATACCAAGGCCCGGATGTGTTGGCGGATAGGCACCATGGATGAACTTTAATAAGAGCGAAATTCGAGTTCAGTGCTTCGGAGTGTCTAGTTAGCTGGATGAAATGAGGATTGTGCCAGAAGACGAAGTCCGAAGGTCGGTCAGTTCAAACTAGTAGCAATTATTCCACACCCCTACTCACAAGTAAATGTAAAATAAATGCCAACAGTAATAACATAAGTATTCCATGACATGATCCGTTCAAATGTATGCCGTATCTATTGACTCAATACGGTTTGTGGAAAAACACCACGAAGTAACTATACACCCACACACTCATATTTGAGAATGTGCATGTATACCCTTTGTCTACAGTAATACCTGTACGTGAGAAAGAACAACTGAGAATGATCTGGTCCTTGGAAAATCTACAACAATACTACCGGTAAGCAGGTCGTGAATGCAGACGGTAGAATGATCTAACTGATTCATTACCTCGCAATCTATAGATGCAACCCGATGCTTGTCTTGGGGAGTTTGATCAAAAATCTACAAGAAGGTGGTGTGGCCTATCACCTGGAGGAGAAGTAAGTAATCACAAATTCCTTCCAATTTAAGAACTTGGTCAATGATGGTGTGTGTTCGCTCACTGTGAAACGTTCATAGCGAATTATCTAATGCTCCAGTAAGTATGGTACGATCAAATTTTTGGAGCCACCTTCTGGGGAAATGAACGCTTTTATTCTCTCTCTCTTGGTTCCCGTTTTAACCAATTATCGTGCGCAAACCGGTCAACATGTCAACATTCGTTCGATTTTATAACTCTTCAGTTTGTGTTAAGTCAATTGATTACAGAAATGAGAGGATCACTGATATGACACTTATGGCACATCAGGTTCAATGCAATAAATTGGTCGGTCCTGTAAGATAAGAGACTTTAACCAACTCTGCCTAAACATTTTGCCACATGTCTGATGCTCCGGAATGTTAGTATAGAGAGAAAGATTCATTTAAAGTCGAATGTACAGATCGAGCAGAGTGGACGCTAATTCACAAAGTTGAAGTTGCGAAAACGGAATCCAATCTGATGTGGATTACAACTCCCTGTTAATAGTTCATCCTACCAAGCTCTCGGCAATCATGGTTACAACAAAACTTCGACAATCTTCACTCACTAAGTTATTCAAGTGTGTATACTAGTGTGTTCTGGCAATCCTAATTCACTGCTTTTTAAAATTCTTTGATTTTTGAGATTCCAAAGAATCGTACAATGATCATCTGTTGTGTTTTTCCCATTCCCTGTTAGCCTGTCCTCAAGTATTCCAATAGAATGGTATTTATCAACCCTCACATGTCTACCTTAGTTCTGGCCTTTCTCGCATAGATAAACACAGTCCAGTCACCGTATTGTATCACCAGTTGCGATAACATTTATCAGAATGATACGGTTGCAAATTTAGCTCAGTTATAAATGCCTAATGATGAAGACGCTGACTGAAACACCGGTACACTCTAATCTCACTGGATAAATCAGCCCTCCTCGTGCTCCTGGGCGTCTAAAACGCAGTTTTGTTTTATTTTTCACCTGTTCACTTTTACAAGTAGATACTTCTGTGTATCCATGCTAAAGTCATCCGATTCATCTTCTGCCTGTGTCCGAATAACTTCAATGATTTGTTTTGGCTTAGCTGGTCACCACATTAGTGGCGTTTTGATTGAGTCAATTTGATGTAAAACATCTCTCTATCATTCTTTGTGATACCGAACAAAAAGCACCGGGACAGCTGATTTGTCCTGTCTGGGACTAATGAGCAGTAAGTAGGTTTTATGTTTTTGACAGGCCCCGCGAAGTTTTGGGTTGGGAACTCAAGTTCAATCAATTTAGACCGTCAATGTTTGGACTAGTGTATTCGGTTTTCTACGGGCACCAGGCATTGTTGATAATCTTTGATGTGGGTTTCACCTCTTTTGAGATAGATCATTTATTCCCATCCGTTAAGTGCATTTAAATGCGATGGAAATCGCACGATTCGCGCAAGGTGATAACCGTGGACCATGTAGCTTAGGGTTAGTGGCTTGAAGTCTCAACCCGAAGGTTCGTGGTTAGAGTCCTGACAGGAACAAAAAACGTACGCACCGCTGATGAGATGCAAAAAGAGTGAAACAGCTGTCCCGGTGCTGTTTGTCGATCATCAGAAAGATTTTCATCGTATTTAAATGCATTTACTTGGAAAATTAATGATCTCCCAAGGAATGAAACTCACATCGAGGATCATTAACAGTGCCTGGTGCCTGTGAAAAAACGAATTCACTAATCCAAACGTCAACCTTCTAAATCTTTCTGTCAGCATTGATAATCATTTGATGTGTTGCTGTATCTCGCTTTCAGACACTTGGCAACTGATCTGGAATGTGTGTTTGGATCCCTGTGTGATTTTACTAACAGCAGTATGTGCACTCTGTTTGTAATACGAATGAATCTGACCCAGACCGGAATTCGTCGAGTGCCAACGGTGAGCAAACGGCAGAATTCATACTTGGCTAACATCATCATTATCATCATTGTTAGATCTGTCCGGTGTGCTGAGTGACTTACCAAACCAGAAGACGGAATCGATCCACACCTTTTCCCATCAAGCTTTAGTCAAAACCCGCAATCCTTTAACCTCGACCCGTTTTCCTTTAACCAAAGCCCGAAATGCTTTAAACAAAACCCGTAGATCTTTGGCCTCAACGCACAAAATTTAGCCACTCCGCAATAGGCGAATCAGATCAAAACTATCGGGATATTTTGAAGTCAACGAATGTTGAAAATAATTATTTTCTATAAATGTTGATGCTGCAAAGCTTGGTTAAGAAATAAGTTGTGTGTTGCATGCTGCAACTGATATTGATTGGATAAGGTTTAACCGATGTATTGTATTGTGTATAATTTGGCTAAACATCATCATCATCATTGGTAGATCTGTCCTGTGTGCTGAGTGACTTGCCAAACCAGAAGAAGGAACCGATCTAGGTACGATTATTTACTAACGTCCAGTCTATGCGATGCTACAGGTAAACAACACGTTACGTCGCCATCACAGATACAAACCTCAATTCGTGGCGTTCTCACAGGGAGTTCACTGAACAGTTAATCAATCAGGGCTGATACAAGTAGCAGCTACTAGGGTCAAACGAGTGGACAAAACTTTTGGTTGCCGAACAAAGCAAAACCGGCGGGACGAAGAACAAACACCGATTGACAAGGGTAAGCGCATGACCGACTATCACTAGGACTGTCCAATCACAATTGGGGTTAGGAAATTGGAGTCCACAAGAAGCAAGAAATGAAGTACAAACTGGAACTTAGTCCCAGAGGTCAAGTCACAGTTAAACGAGATAGATCATGTGCCGGAAAAATTGTGTGCTTGTGTGTGCATGCTTGTGGAGAGGCAGTTGGAAGGTCACATGATCGAACATGAATTAGCAGTGGGTGCCGACACAGCGGTGGGTGGGATGCCAGGTGGACACGGAATTGAGTAAGTGATAATTGAATAGTGACATATATATATTGAGATGTATTGGCATGAGTACGAATCTCTGAGAACGAGCTTGTTCGCCACTCTGTTGTTCTGTTTGAATCGAGTAAAGTGGTCAATACGCAGGCGGATAGAATAAGCTCCCGTGAAGAAAAGCTACTGTGGATCAAGTCTAAACGATAAATGCGGTCGATAAACGATCGAGAGCAACACAGACTGGGAACATTGGGAGGAACAGGCAAAATAGATTCGACAATCATTATTGTACAGTGTCACATGATGAAACGTACTTCACTGATCCCTGTCGAACTCAAAATGCATACAAAGTAAGTGAGAATGTGCAAGGAGGATAGAAATTGAGTTTATTTTGTGGGACGGGAAAGAAAGCGAACCTCGACGGTTAGCACACAGAGTACACAGACCGATTGTGCATAAACACCATTTGAAGCATTCTGGTGTGATAAGAAGATCGCCAATGCTGTCCGTTTGCTGCCCTGCGTTTCAGTGTCTCCAATCATCCAGGTACGGAGTCTTTAGGACACCAACCCGGAAGACGAGAGACACCTACTCGTCCCCCTCATCTTTGTGTGCATTTCTCTAGGCCTCGGCTCCACGTCATCTGTTGAGTTGCATGTAGCTTTCTCCGGTTTCGAGCCTCCACTGCAAATAATTGGGTTGTAGTAGGCGATCTTTAGACACGTACGCAGAACGTGTTCTACCCAATGGAGTCTATTGAATTAAATTTCAAACGATAGCGAGATTTTGTTCCGTGCATTCCCAAACACCCGACGATGTACCTCTAGTTTATTAATCCACTAACTCAATCCCACCTGAATAACCTCCAGATGAGATGAAAGTTTGATTTGTTTTGCTTAAATCGTTCACTTCATTCCCAGCATCAATTAAGCAGAAATTCATTCAAGGATAAGCGGTTGTTGGACTTGAGATTAGCTGATATCAAACAACAGTCAAGGCTGTAAACTATCTTGCGCGGAAACAGTGTGTGTCTATGGGGAAATTATTTTTCTGCTTATTTAAAATAAGCGAAAATACTGCCATGCACAATGTTGTGCTTCGTAAGCGTCCGGGAGAGGGGCATATTTGCTTTGTTTATACGATGGATTTCTCCATGAAGCTCACACAACAAATATTCAATGTTGTGAAAGTTTCCAACCGGGTCCTCACCCTGGAGGCTATTGCCAAGACGACCGAGGATCGATACTCGCAACAAGCTTGCAAAGATGAGTTGTGCTATACTGTGTGCATACTCAAATTGCGGAACGGCCTGATCAGCTGCCTGGTGATCGAGTGGGTAGTATGCTTGCGTTCTACCTGTGAGGTCCCGGGTTCGATCCCCAAATGAATCGATGAATTTAAACTACTGGTGAGACTCAACCAGGTCGATACAGTTAGACAGTAGTGCTTCTCAGCTATTCATCTCACTTATAAACAAATCAGTGTCCATTGATTCCCTCAGCCTGACTCCGGGCTGAAAATCCACCAATGCGCTCTTTGTGTATATTGTACGCTTTCGTCATTGACCCGAAATTCGAGTGAGCAGCTTGAATTGATCCAACAGCTTGTGTGCTGCGCTGATTGTGATACCTTCAATGCAATCACTGATTCCTTATCAGGTTCTTCTTAGATACGCTTAGCTCGCTTTCACACAATTCTACCTGAAAACTAAGACCGAGATTTGATGGGAGAAACTGGTGAATAACCCGGTTTTTCATCGTCCAATTCTAAACAGTTGATCTCGTCGTCAAAAGACGCTCATCGATGAATGCGTAATACGTAAAGTATTCAATCCAATCGCATTTACTCTCCGGTAGCAGCTACTCCAACATGCGTTTAAGTCTAGATTTCACGAAGGCGTTTACCAGGAGATGCACATAAATAGGTATTCAAGTTTGTCTGACCAAATACACGGGCACAAACTGTTCAGTTCGGACTTTATGTTGAATTGCTCATAGTCTACTAAACTGAAACCGTCTTCTAATGTATGCTTCCGGAGCGTTAGGCTGAACGACCAGAACATACCCTGGGCCATATTCTGTAAAACCTAAAAACCGGTTGGAAGCAGCTATGCCACTTTTACATTGGAGAATGTTGTGGTTTCCGTCTATAGAAAGGGAGATTATCTATAAGTAGTAAAATGGTGCGTTCGTGGAAAACCGTTTGGCGTTTTTTATCGGACAGACAACCTCTGAACAACGCGGCAGTGTAAACCTGTCTCTATGTTTGACCTGAGCGGTTAAATGACTCCTTGCTTTGATTTATTAGCTCTAGTAACAGTCCTTTGAGGCTTCATGTCTCCCCCGGGAGTTACTTGTCATATAAAGTTGTTCCATCAGCACTAAAAATATCACAATTGGCATTTCCATGGATCAGCTGCGGTAATCCTGTTCGAAATTCGTCCATTGCATCATGTATTACTGTCAAAATTTTCGGATTTCTCATGTTGTAGAAATGAATGTCACATCCGTCTGATCTAGAGTGAAATCAACCTTTCCACCATCGGGAACTCGCCATGCATTCCCCCCATAGCGGTAGACCACGCCAAAGTCCCAGCAATAACTGCCGTAAACTTATTGTTGGTTTTCAGTTAGCATTTCTCTTAGTAGGCACTATAGTTCACAAATTCTCCGATCAACTTTCGATTGGATATAACAATGGAAACGGTTTTTCTTGAACTACGAAGTCCTTTTGCCGCACACCCCTGAGCTGTAACTGGTTCATCCAACAATTTTCAATACATTCCGCCTTTGTCCAATAGTTAAGCCTTTGCTCATGGTCACGTGTTGTAGCATTGGCATCTATGTGTCTTCCTCACAATGGTTATCCAGTTAGTGAACGGCCTCATGTATAGGTCACACTAGGTGAAATGTCATTGGCTGAAAGCAGCAAGGCTTGTTGATTGGTTTGTCCCTACATCAGTCACCAAATAAGTGAGTATCAGGAATTGCGACATGCCCTGAGAGCGAGAATGCTTGTTGGGACCCACGTTGGGACGCATACGGTTGGTTTGGGTTTGCTGAAAAGTGGAAATATTAGAAAATGTGACATCTCACGGATGCGAAATAGCAAGATATTGATTGAGTGAGAATGCAGCGACCGAATGAAAGATCTAACCCGGGACTTCACAGGTGGAACGCAAGCATACTATCCACTTGACCACTGGGAAGCTGATCCGACCGTTTGTCATGTTGTCAATCCACGATATAGCAAAAACCATATTGAAAAANCGCTCTACCAGATTGGCCAACAAGCTGCCCTGACTAAAACTCTCGAAACTTTCAATGTAGATGTATGTTGTATCTCCGAAACACGCATAGAAGACCCTACTTCCATTAGCTACTTCCATTAGCGTTCTCCTGAACCAACCTCAACCTCACGCTTCACCCTTCGTGTGTCAGGCGATTCGGC